TTCAGAACCTTGAGGTGCATTTTCACAGAAAACCCTACACCACACTGCCTGAAACATGGCAGGCCTCATGTCCGCATGAGGGGCTACCATCCCTACTATTTTCATTCCACTCTGCCTTAACACACACAAGTGATATGAGTTTTGCTTTCACCATTTTGAGGGGTACTTTCGCAGAGACCCCTGCGCCTATCTCCTTGAACCGTGGCAGGCTTCATGCCCTCAGAAGGGGCTGCCATCCCTGCTGCTTCCATCCAAATCTGAAAAAAAATGACAAAATTATAGGTATTTTAGTGATTCCCCCTTATAGTCTATGGCCGAATCTCTGAATCGGGACAATGATTTGAATCACTGAATCGAATCACTGTCCTTCCGAATATGCTGAATCTGAATCTGACAATTCATTGGAGCAACGGGATGTACTGTACTAGTGTTTTTCCTGGTTAAAAAGATGGGTGTTATCAGATAGTGCCCAGTTTTTAAGGGACTGACCATGTATTTCTCAGAACCTTATTTTAATTAAATACCTCCTTTGGACTAATTTTAGCCTCCAGCTATGTGTTGCTTTGGGGACTGATCAATTTTCAGTGAGATAACATCTTAACATGGGGGAAAAAATGCCTCATCTTGGATTTGAGTACTGACCTGGGGCTTGGCTCTGGCTTTGGCCCCAGGCTTGGTGGTGTAGAGGGCACACGGCTGAGAGAACTGTGGGAGAGACCTCGGGATGTGCATGGGGGAAACTGCAGCCTGCCTTCTACCCCTTGCCTCCACTCCTTGCCCTCCGCATGCTTGTGCCTACCTCCCACCTCTTGCTTCTCCCTGCAGTTTGCCCCTTCCATGCAGCTGCCCCATGCCACCCTTACCTTCTGATCCAGCTTGGCCAGGAGCTGCTGTCACTTCTCCCTGTCTGGTTTGGGCCAAGGCTGGGCCAGGGCTGCTGCTGCTGCTGAGTGCCCAGGAGCCAGTGTAGGGCTGCCACAGATGGTAAGGGGCTGGGTGAGTGCAGAGGGGCATGTGGCAGAGGGGTGTGTGGTGGTGGTGGTGGTGGGGGAGACAGGCAATTGGTAGAGGACAGGCATGGGGAGAGGGGGGCAAGGTACAGGGGAGCAAGGGTGGGTGTCCCCTGCCTCTGCTTTTCCCACCACAGCAGTTGGGGGATGAATTCCAGACAACCTTCCACTAATTAGATTGTGTACATGGAAAATTATAACAAATTTATAAATGTTCCATGTATAGAATTTAATTATTGGAGGATCATCTTAAATTTGAAGTAGTCTTGGAGTCAGATAAGTATGGTAGCATTAAACATTAAAATAATAATAAAAAGTCTCGCATTTAAGTATTTGTAAGCAAAAGAAATCTGCTGTAGTTGGTTCCAAAATACTTGTTTAAATACCACCAACAAGAATTTTCTCTCTTTCAATAAACACCTACCACATGTTGAAATAAGGCTTTTTTTTTCTTCACTAAAAAACCTGTTCTGAACATTAGATTTGTGTGTATGTTGCTTTTGGCAGCTCTGTAGAACAGTTTCTAAAATGTTTTATATTTGATACTTTTCTGTTTTTATAATGCACTCTCTGCTGCATTTTCCTCTTAAAAATAAATGCAGTATGGCATTGGCAAAGGTTAAATTTTATTTCCCCAAATGCAGCATACTATAATACATATTGTAATATAATGTCCTATGCTGTTATATATTTTGAAATAAAATTACCTAGGTTACACCAAATATAATCTAAGTTTTATCCACAGGTATACCCTTTGCTACCCTTCTAGGGCTAAACAGCATCTGATCATTTGCTATAATATAATCTTCCTTTCAGTTTGTGACTCATAGTATGCTTTCTGAGTTTGAGTAAAGCAGCAAAATCTATCTTTATTATTTGAGGAATGAGGAACATTTTTAATGTTCCTTTGTTATCGAAGTTTTGCCTCAAGCTGCTTGCTATTAAGCATAAAAATTGACATAGTGTATTTTGTCAAAATGAGGAATCCAGACTCAAACCTCCTTTATTCCTAAATCCTATTGATTTTATTATGTGTAAAATTAAGATTATAAAATTGCAATTGTTTTAACACAGGTCCTGATTGCTCTTTGAATGTCCCTTCCACGGAGTCTTACTGGATTTTACCCAATGTGAAGCCATTCAGTCCTTCTGTAGGTCGGGCTTCCCATAAGGCAGTTTTACATGGAAAATTTATGTGGGTGATTGGTGGATATACCTTTAACTACAGCTCATTCCAAATGGTGTTAAAGTAAGTGATTTCCCTTTTGTTAGTCTGTTCTGTTATTCTTTATAAGTGATAATGATCTTTGCTAGGTAAACAGTGTTTAATCCCATTGTTATCCTACCTTTGCATGAAAGTTTTATTATTTAGTTGAGCCCTGCCACCTTCTCGGGACCCAGCCTACTTCCCCCGGCTCCTGACCACCTGCAACAACCTGGTCCTGAGAGCCTGCTGCCCCTTTCCTTCCATAGCTCCTGCTGGACTGGCTAAACCACAAGCAGCTGATGCCATGTAGTGCCAGCTGCAGGAGCCATGGGCCCAATCCTGGTGGCTAGTTGGCCCAGGTGATAAAATCTCTTTGCAGGCTGGATTTGTCCTGCAGGCCGTAGGTTGCCGAACACAATCTTAGCATATAAAACAATTAAATAATGGGTTAGTAAATTAAGTAAATGAGTATTGAAACAATTCATTACGTGGTTATTTTTTGTAACGGTACCTATTGCTGATTTGTGCTCCAAAATATTAATTTTTTTTTCAGTGAGAGACAGTATTCAAACACTGATATATTGATGTTTGCAATTATTTTATCCAGAAGGCTGTTAACAACATCGGAGCTAGCTCTACTTAAATTTATTCATTAGAGTAAGAATAACTAAGCTTAGTCTTATTTGAATGATATCAGTGATATACTTAAATTTTGTATTTTTTTTTGTTTGGGTTCCAAGGGTGTTTTAAGAAACTGATAAATAAAAGATAAATTACTTCCCTGAAGAACTTTTCAATCTAAATGAAACAAAAGATGAGAGAGAGATGTAATCAAAATGACTAAAGTCACTTTATTATGTGGAGAGCCTGCTCCGATGCACTGGAATTCCAGCACATCGGAGCAGACTCAATTAACTGAGTCTGCTGGAGCACATAAATTGGTGTGCTCTGGAAGTCTCACGCATCACATGCATCAGTGGCGCAGCATGCTTCCGTGCTGAGAAAATGGCGGTAGTGCGCTTTGAACTAAAACACTTTTGATGTGCTTTAGTTCAAAGCGCACTGCTGCCATTTTTCTCAGCGTGATGACGTGCTTCGCTGCTGATGCACATGACATGCAGGTGCTTTTAATTAACATGGCTCACTAATTAAGTGCCCAGCACCACATCTGGAGTACATACAAAAATGCCCTAGGTTGGCATGTCTTCTTCCATGTGCAGGTGTGGCTGTGTTTTGTACAGGATGCTAATTGTATGAGAGAGAGTCTAATAATGAGGAAAGTACCATTTTACTTGGAGTATTCAAAAGCATTTCTAAGTTGTAAAATGAAAACAGATGGACCTTAGGAATCTGGGGATATTTCTGGCAATAATAGAGTCTGATTTGAAGCCTTAAGTTGAAGTTTATATGGTACTTGACCCAAAGGGAGTTGTTGGTTGGACTCAATCCAATGCAAAGGTGTTAGGAGGGGAAAATAAAGGTAGGCACAGAAAAATTAAGTGAAAGAAAATAAAATAAAATGAATAGACACAGGAAAATATAGCATATGTTGTGGGACAGTAGAACCGTAGTAGTTTAATACAGTTGCACAAGAGGATAGTAAATGGAGAGGTTAAGTGCATGAAATATAGGGATTAAAATACTAAGAGAAGCAACAGGAGCTTTTAGGACTAAACTGATATATTGGTGGTGAAATATCTGTTCAGAGTTGGAAGCAATTCTTTTAAAGTTGATGGAATTCCACTTAAATGTTGATACGCGTTTCTGGCTCGGAGTAGAAATATTGTTTGCTGTTTTTAAATTAGAATGTTTGTGCGTTCTAATAATTGGAAATTGCCTTATTAATAATAAATGAGTTCTACCAATCATGAACCTACATGTACAAAAAGCAACTTTGTTCCAGATGCCTGTTCCTGTTGGCGCAAATGTTTACACGTAATAATGTGAAGATTATAGTTCTCCAGATGAGGTGTTGAAAGCATTTCCTATTCTATTTTCACAGAAAGGAAGGAAGACTAATAAGAAACAAATACATTTGATCACATTACTTATCAAGATGTGTACCCTTACAGTAATGGGCCTGGATTTCTTGACATAAATGAAAACTGTTTGTTCAAGATGAAGGGCTCTCTTGGCAAAATCAGTATATTAAGGGAATTTTGACTCCTAGTAAACAAAAAATATTTTAAATTTACGTTTAAAATGTTAATCTCAAGCCATTTTACAAGCTATATTCCCAGTTGTCAAGAGATGTCACAGATCAGAATTAAAACTAGGCCTTTAGCATACAGTGCAAAATAGAGCCATCTTCAGCAGAGAAGCTCCTCATATAGGGAAATCAAAGTGGTTTAAAGCGATCTTTGCCGGGAGGCCCTTCTGTATATTTGCTAAGCACACCAGAAGTGGTCCATTAAATCTGGGCACTTTTATACTGATACCTGATAAAATCCACATTGGGTAGAATAGCGTCCTTTTATAATTGTGCCTATCAGCTTTATACAGCTGTATATTGCATTCTGATGTAAATGGTAAAATGAGAAAAGGAATTCAGGTAAACTTTCTTCTTGGATAAAACCAGCAAAGAATTAAGGCCCCCTGACCATGTCTGAAAGACATCACTGTTGTGTTTAAACCATGCTGTATTAAGTTGGACGGGAGCCAAGAAGTAGAGCGGTAACTGAATGGATCCTGTTAATTAACATTCCT